AAGTGGAGAAAAGCAGATTATTGGAGAGGAGAGGGAGGAAGAGGAGAGAAGAGAGGGTAGGGACAGAGAGATAGATAGAAAGAAATCTTAGCTGTGTGCTAGCAGCCTTCTCCTGTGTACATACCGAGGGCACTAGAACCTGGTTTGGGTTTCACCTGTAATCCGTATGACTGGGATTGGAGAGCCCAAAGAAGAAAAGGCGTTGTGAAATGTCATGTGAGCTCCTCCCTGATTTGCGCTTGGGGCTGCGTGGGTTTTCACTTGGAAGGACAAGGCCAGTTGCTGTCAGCCTCACCATAAGACTGGACGTCGAATGTGAACATCTTGTTTGTCAGTCTCTACTTCCCTTTCCTTTGCTCCTTCCACCACGTGGGTGGGAATGTCCCCAAACATGGTGGTGGCCGAAAGGATTCTACTTTGTTCCAGAAACAACAACACAGAAGAAGTAAAAGCTTGTCCAGCTGAAGGGGATACACACATTTCTGAATTTCTGTGCGCCAACTTGAACCCAGAAATCTTGGCCGTGTTTCCCGAGATAACTGAAGGCCAGTAGTGAAACTGTTTGCTGGAAAGAGAAAGCGATGGAGTACATCTGCCTCCCCAGCTCTCCGCAAGGCCTTGAAGCTTGCTTGCTGCAGTGGAAGCCAGTTGTTTTCTGGTCACTGCTGAGAGCTTATGGTGAATGAGAAGCCCCCCCCGCCCCAAGCTCTTGTTTGGACCTGGTTGGCTTTTTTTTTTTTTCCGAAACAGATATCACGACATTCCACCATTTGTTATGGAAACACATGGAAACCAAGCTTCTCTTCCCAGATAGTTATTGGCAGAGTGGCAATGTTTCACAGCCACAACCAGTGACGTTTTTGCTTCCTCTAAATTCACTTTCAGCTGGTTTAGGTTGGTGTGTTCGGGTGAGAGAGCGCTGGGCTTGGAGTCAGGAAAATTCATCTTCCCGAGTTCAAATCCAGCCTCAGACACGTGTCAGCTGGGTGACTCTGGGCAAGTCACTTCACCCTGTTGACCTCAGTTTCCTCTTCTGTAAAATGGGCTGGAGAAGGAAATGGCAAACCATTCCACTATCTTTGCCAAGAAAATTCCCCCAAAGCGGTCACAAGTAGTCAGACGTAACTGAAATGAATGAACAACAAAAATTCTGGAGGCCTTTGCCCCAAAGATGAGAAAACCCTCCGCTTTGTGCTGTTTCTGGACCTCCCAAGGAACTCAGCAGAGCCTGTGAGATCTATGTAGTCTAGTGACCACAGACCTGCTCAGGGGGTCATCGTGAAAGAAGGGGAAAATCAAAGGCGGAAAAGAACTTTCGACCAAGAGCGGGTCAGCTAGCCAAAATAATAGGATAGTCCACGTGGGAACTGTGAAGTTCAATTTATTTGACCTTCCAGTTTCTTTAGGAAGAGAAATGCTCTTTTTGCACAGCCTAAGGCTAAAATGACCAACCTGGAAGACTGATTTAGCTGCCTGGATAAAGACCATCTACTCTGGGCCCTGAGGGATGAATTTAAGGTTAAATAGGGAACAGTCTTGTGCCCAGAGGTAATGTGTCACTGGGGCAGTCCCTGAACTTGTCTCTTAGCTCTAATGAAATTTGAACTGAAGCCTTTTCCTATGGGAAGTGAAAATGGAAACTCTAATGCCTTTCCTAGGATAGCCTCATTATCCCAAATTGGCCGCATCTCCTCCTGAGTATATATGGGTAATAAGGATGACCAGCTGATCAAAGAGAGTGAGATGGGAGGCGGAACCAGGGCTAGAAATAGATTCCACTCTTGGGAATTTAATACATTCCTCTCATCTGTCTGTATGTGTGTTGGTTTAATTTGGATTTTTTGTAGATTTAGAATTTAAAAAAAATTATTTAATATTTTATTTTTCCCCAGTTACATGTAAAAACAGTTTTTAACATTCATTTGAGTTCCAAATTCTCTTCCTTTCTCTCTCCCCACCCCACCTCATTGAGAAGGCAAGCAATTTGAAATAGGTTATATGTGTGTAGTCATGCAAAACAAATTTCTATATTAGTCATGTTGTGAAAGAAAACAGACCAAAAAAACCCAACCTAACAAAAAAACCCCACACCTCAAGAAAAATAAAGAAAGTAAAAAAAAAAGTCTGCTTCAGTCTGTATTCAGACACCATCAGTTCTCTCTCTGGGGATGGATAGCACTTTTCATCCTAAGTCCTTCAGAGTTGTCTTGGATAGTTGTATTACTGAGAATAGCTAAGCCATTCACAGCTGATCATCTCACAATGTTGCTGTTACTGTGTGCTCCGTGCATTCCACTTTGTATCAGCTCCTGTAAGTCTTTCCAGGGTTTGTGGAAAGCATCCTGCTCATCATTTCTTATAGTACCATAGTATTCCATCATATAGATTTAGAATTTCTCTACCCTCTTCATCTTCTGTAGCAGAGGTTGGTACATTGGCAGGAATGTGTAACTGCATATCTATTACATATATGTGTTACATATTCGTGGAGCTCTTTGGGTAAACGCTCTTATAGCATAAGCCTTGAAGGAGGCCCAGCCAGCTGTTCCCAAATGATCAGTGCTTTCCAACACTGAAGACTTCGATCCTTGTCTCTCTTAGGAGAACCTGTGAGCCTTCCTGCCTTTCAGGTAATGCTTCCTTTGGCCTCCAGTTTAATTTATAGTGAGATGGATGAGATGCGTCCATCTTGAAGTACGTCCATTCGCTGGTCCCTGGACAAGTATCTTCTATTTAAACAACCTGTAGCTAAGGTAGTGTTGATCGGCAGTCGAAGAAGAGTGGGGTTCTTTGCACTGTCTTCTTTTCTGGGGCCATCTTCAATATAGAAATAGATGCCATCCACCCCCACCCCCATTTAGGTCCATTTTGTGTTTTTCTTATTAGGATGTGAGAGATTACTTCTAGCTGGAAGGGTCATGGGTGGCTTCATAGAGGTAGTATTTGAGTTGGGCCTTGAACCACAGTTAGGATCGGACCGAAATGAGGAGAGAAGATATTAGAACAGTTTGAACAAATGCGTTGAGGTATAAAATTTTGTGACAGGTCTGGGCAATGACAAAGTAGCAATTAAGATTTAAACTTTAGGAGAGAAATCTAGCAAAGGTGTCCAGAGGACAGATTGGAGGGAGAAGAGCCCTACTGGGAGATTATTGCTAAGCGGTCTGGGTAAGACTAACAGTGTCAGCATTGGAAGGGGCTTCCCTGGCATCCAGGCTGGAGGCCTGTGAGGAGTCATTTGCCTTGAGGGAAGACTTGAATTAAGTGGTGACTGTGCCTCCCAGGACAGGCCACTCTGCTTCAGGAGATGTCTCCTCACCCTGCTGCCAGCCTGAACCACCTCTTCCCACTCTGAGGTCGAGGAGAAGTGGCAGCCTTTCAGATAGTGAAGACATGGTGGCCCGGAGTGGAGAGGAGGGCACTGGTGGGCTTGTGGATTGATGAGATGGGGGAGGGAGCAAGCGAGGAAGGAGTCCAGAGTGGACCTTCAGATCAGGCTTGAAAGTCTGCTGAGACAGGAATGTTAGCAGTGAGGCTGCTCATGTCCCTCGGAGGGATGCTAAAACACTGACTTTACAGAGGAGGTCACCGGCAGCGCGCAGCTGTGTCTGGCGCTCACCGGCCGGCGTGGACAAGAGGGGTTGGCAGTTCCTGGTTTATAGGTTCTCTGCCCTTTATCCAGTGGGCAAAGCCATGTTTTAACTCCTCAGTGGCATTTAGTTTCTCTTTTACTGTAGCTGCTGATGTCTACTTGGCTTTTGTCTTCTTTCTGTGCATTCCAGTGACTTTTCTCCCCAAAAGTTGTCTCCTTAGGGCAGCTAGGTGGTGCAGTGGACAGAGCCCTGGGTCTGGAGTCAGGAAGACCCGAGTTCAAATGTAGCCTTAGACAATTATTAGTATGTGACTCTAGGCAAGTTACTTTGCACCTCTTTCCCTCAGTTTCTTCGTCTGTAAAGCAGGGATAATAGTATCATCATCAACTAGAGGAGTTGTGAGGATCAAATGAGAATTTTTGTGACGCACTTAAAGCGGTGCCTGGCGTATAGGAGGTTCCGTATAAGTGTTCGTCATCATCATTATTACTGTCATTATTTGGATGAGTAATGGTGTGGCAGTAGAAAGACTTCTGGCTCTAGAGGCAGAGAACCTAGGTTCCAAGCCTGCCTCTGAGAGGCACTCCAGTGACCTTCGGTAAGTCACATTATGACCTTGGGCTTCTGTTGGGCTCGATGGCCTCTAGGGGCCTGTATGCCATTCATGAGCCCGTACTTTTCATTGTCTTGACTTTAGATACTGTCCCAGTTTGGTCTCCCTGAGAGGGAACCAGGAGATGAGACCCTGGCGTGTCCATGGAAGGATGTGGGGAGAAGCTGGGCTAGCCTCCCCACTCTGCTGCCCCCTTTTCCTGTATGACCTCCTTTTATGGAGTGACCTAGTGACCACTCCAGGCCCGTTTCCTGCTCTGTAAAATGAGGGCATTGCAGGAGATGACATCTGAGATCCTGACCCTCCGTCTACCCTCTCTGAACCCAGAGCTGAGAAGAGGGATGAGGGAGAGAATGAGGGAAAGTCCAGTGAGCCATGTCCTGAGGCCGGGAGCCTACGGAGCCGAGGTGCCCGTATTTCGTGGCTGTGTCGATCCCTTCCCGCCTGCACCTCCCAAGTCGCTCTCCTGGTCCTGAGGACCCATCAGTCTGCCTCAGCGGTTTGGGCGCTAGCACTCAGAGGTTTGGTGAAAGTCCAGCTGGCCCACAGCCTTCCTATTCCTACTGAAATTGTCTTCTGTACTTTCAGTCTGATTATAATCTGGTCCTTCCTGTTCTCCGTCGAGCATTGACATGTTTCCCAAGCTGTCCCCTGGGCCGTGTCATAGTGTGTGATCTTCCGCAGAGATTGAGCTGGAGTGCAGTCATGGGTGCAAGGCTGCTTCTGCTTTGGTTTGAGCGTCTTAGGAGTGTGTTGACCAATTTTATTTAAAAGTGATTCTGATTACTTAACAGAATGTGGAGGCCCTGGATCCTCGAGGCCGGACCTTGTTACACCTCGCTGTTTCCTTGGGACACTTGGAGTCTGCTAGAGTCTTGCTCCGACATAAAGCAGATGTCACGAAAGAAAATCGCCAGGGATGGACAGGCAAGCATACATTAAAAAAAAAAAAAGCACGAAGCCAGCCCTGACTTACAATTGTATGGGAAGGAGGTGTCATTAGCTGACTTGTGACTTTTCTTCCCTTGGGACAAGAGGAGAAGGGGAGGGTGAGAGAGCTCCAAGTAGTTGCTGCTAGCCAGGCTCAGCCAGGGGTCTCCATTCTGTTCCGTGGCCTCTGGCTCCCCTGGGAGGGAGACTTGTCACGCTGACAAGGGCAGCTGCCATCAGGGCCTCATGTGACGCGGCTGGCGCTTGGGCAGCTGTGTGGGAAATCCCCGTGGAAGGACCAGGTGGAGCAGAAATGACGGTGACAGGAGGCCATTCCTGAGCATGCTTGGGGTCCGTTACATTCCGGTTATGTGATCACACCGTTGCAGTGGCCCCCCACAAAAGAGCTCTGCTGGCAGGAGTGTTTTGTTGGTTCGGGGGTGTGCCTGAGGAAGGAAGACGGCCCCACGGCCTTGTCCTTCCTGCTTTGCTCAGTGAGGTTGTCCCTGATGATGGGCTTGGCCTGCTGGCTTCTCTCTCTGGGGAGAGCGGGGTGCCCTCCTCAGGCAGAAGCTGTTCTGATGAGACAGGCCTTGTTCTCTGAGGCCTTGTGGAGGGTGTGGGGCTGGCCCTGGGACCTTGAAAGTTGTACCTTGGCAGGGTGGGCCCTGTGCTGGTGTCTGAGGACAAGGGCGTGGAGCTTCCTTGCCAGACTGGCCACAGAGAGAAGCCCTTTTTGGTCCTAGTGACTCTTGAGATGGCCAGGTCGCAGAGGGGTTGCAATCTGCATTAGTGGAGGGGGTGCCCACGCCGGTGAAGTCACAGGTCCTCGAGGTAGCATGGGGTGCCTCCCTCTGTTGATGTTTAATGGACTTTGGTCTTTGGGGATTTCAGTTTTGCACGAGGCGGTGAGTACTGGAGACCCCGAGATGGTATATAGCGTTCTTCAGCACCGTGATTACCACAACACGTCGATGGCCCTGGAAGGTGTTCCCGAGCTGCTCCACAAGATCCTCGAGGTATGTGAACCACGGTCACCTAAGTGTTGCATTGTGCCAGAGCTCGGGGACGTCGGCTTCGGGAGGCCGTTGAGATGAGGCCAGCCTGGCCAGGTGTCCTCCTTTGAGGGGGCTCCTGAAAGGTGCTGGAGGCACCCACGGGTCGTGTGACTCACCTAGCCTACCCAGCCAGTGGGTCAGGGTTTGAATTTGAACTTGGGTCTTCTTGACCTGTTAGGCACTGTACCGACAAAGAGTAACTTCATCACGGATGGTGAAGGTGTCTCATTATGCCTTCTGCCATTTACCTTCCATGAATACTTTATGCCTCTTTTTTCTAGATTGTCTGTAGTGTTGGCTTAGCCAGCACACTCATTTGTTTTCTCAGGTTTGTTGAGGTGAGTAGATTTTCTAGGGCCACATTTTTCTAAGTGTGGTTGGTGGGATCCTTTCAGGAGGTCCATCTCTTTGTGATAATGCTAGGGCCTTACTTGCCAATTAAAATACTCCTCATGGGGCAGCTAGGTGGTGCAGTGGATGGAGCACCAACCCTGAATTCAGGAGGACCTGAGTTCAAATGCGGCCTCAGACACATAACACTCACTAGCTGTGTGACTCTGGGCAAGTCATGTAACCCCATTGCCTAGCCGAAAAAAACAAAAAAAGCGAACTTCTCTTTTTCCAAGTGTATTTCTGGGTGAGGATGGATTTTCTTCATATATTTCGCCCATAACAACATGTCACAACAGATCGAATGTCAGAGCAGTTCTGAGCAGCCTGCTGTCTTCCATTGAGATTTCAAAAACGTAGAAATCAGGGCTACTCTTTGCACTGAATTTTGTTCCATTTTGGAAAGTAAAGTTAAATTTTCTTAAAAATGTTTATTTATATTAGCAAGAAATGGGTTATTGTTATTTTAAAAATAAATTTAAATAAATATTTTTAAATATATCAGTTTAAATTTCTAGTACGGTAAATACTGATAGCTATAACCCACATAAACAAAAGCTCTTTGGGGTCCTCAGTAATTTGGAGAAATGTAATTTAGTAGTTTAATTAATTTAGTAATTAGTAATTAATTTAGTAATTTAGAGATCCTAGTAGGAACTGCTATTCTAGGGAAACTTTCTCTATCATCAGTAAAGTGGTATTTTGATTTCTGTTTCCTGTGTTATTTTCTTCTTCCTGTGATTGCTAGCACTTTTGATAATAACACTAATTAATAATATAATAATGATAGCTAGAATTTATAAAGAGCCTACTAAGTACCAGGCACTGTGCTAAGGCTTTACAAATATGATCTCATTTTATCCTTACTACAGCCTTGGGAAGAAGGTGCGGTTTTTATACCCATTTTATAGATGAGGAAACCCAGGGTCACATAGCTAGTAAGTGTCAGGGGCAGGATTTAAACTCAGGTCTTCCTGGCTCCAGGCCCAGCGCTGTATCCACGATGTTACCTAGGGTGAGCGCCTCAGGTTTGCACCTGTTTTTTAGTGGGAATGCATTCAGTGTTTCTTTGTTGTGTGTAATGTTGACTTTGCTCCTCAGGCTTTTTATCGTCCTGAGGAAGAATCCTTCTGTATGGGTTGGTTGGGGTTTTTTGTGAGGCAGTTGGGGTTAAGTGACTTGCCCAGAGTCACATAGCTAGTGAGTGTTTGGATTTATTTTCCCCCCAGGAATTTATACAGTATTTTATCACAGGATTTTTTTGCTCTCATAGTTGATGAGTTGTTAGTCAAAGGCTTGTAGATTTAGAGATCATCTAGTCTAGGGGTGTCAAACTCAGAAAGAAATGGGGGCCGCTAATGTGTACGTAATAATAATAATAATTATACATATTACATAATAAGCCTCCCTGTTGGTTGCATGTTGACTTAGTTTTAAAACATCACGTTATCTACATCTTGTTGTATTTTTGTATTGTTGTTAAATACTTCCCAGTTGCATTTTAATATGGTCGGGGCTGCACAGAGGAGTGTTGTGGGCCATGTGCTGGACACCTCTGGTTTAGTCCATTCTCCTCATTTTTCACAAAAAGAAACTGAGGTTCAAAGAAGTGAAATGTTTGCCCGAGGTGAGATGTCTAAGTAACAGACCTGGGATTAGAATTCAGGTCCTTTCTGGGCTTCTGTATGTCAGGCTCTTTACACTGGCACACGGCCTTTAATAGGGTGTGTTGGGTATGGTTCTGGGAAGCACAGTTGATGAAGCTGGAGAGTATCCAGAGGAGGCAGCTAGGCTGCAGAAGGGCTTTGAGTCTACTCTCTAGGACGATCAGGTGCAGGGACTCCCGGATTGTTTTGAGTGTGGGGAGGAGAAGACTCCTGGAGACGCCTGGGATCTCAGCTGTCTGCTGGTTGGGCTGAATCGGCTGAAACCAGGAGCGAGGGGAGGGGGGGATATGGAGAGGGCACTTTGGGTCATGTGTCAGGGAGTGTCCAAATGTGGAGTGAGCAGCCGTGAGAGGGCCTGGCTCCCCGTCATGGGAATTCTTCAAGCTGAGGCTCCATGACCCCGGGGTGGGGGTGGGGGTTATCTTCTGGCTCTGGTTTGTCTAGATGTTTGAGGAGGCCCTTTCCTGGAAACCCTGCCCTGGGGTGGACCTTTTGTCACGCAGCACCTCCAGTTCCCAAGGCGGAACCTTCCTGGAGTTCTGGGAATCTGTCTTGTTTTGTTAGGACCCATTTTGTCAACAGTCTCCCTGTAGTGACAGTGCATTGCTATTTCATTGTCTTTATGAAGGTTGTATGTCTCAAAGTTCATTCCTAGATGCGTAATAGTTTTTGTTACTGTTATAAATGAAGTTTCTTTCTCAAAAACGTTTTCACGTTCTTTATTTGTAGGATGTAAATGATTTTTGTGGATTTGTTTTGCATCTGGGAATTGTACTGGACTTATTTATTTTCTCATAATAGCTAATAATTATTATACTAATATTTGTTTGGTAATTCTTAGTATACATTAATGAGCCTCATTTGTAGTGAATCTGGCATTTTTGTTTGTCCTTTCCAGGCACCTGATTTTTATGTGCAGATGAAATGGGAATTCACTAGTTGGGGTAAGTGGCCAGATAGTTAGAATTTATTACTGTTTTAAATTTTAAGCCCCAGTCTCTGAAATTTACTGCTACAGCTAGGAAGGAAATTACTAAATGCCAGAATAAACTTGCTTCTCCAAGACATTTGTAAGGCAGATTTTTGTAAAGTGTATCATGTTTTTTCATAGATTAAAAACAAGTTGTTTTTTTTTTGTCTGAGCAATGGGGTTAAGTGACTTGCCCAGCGTCACACAGCTAGTGTTATGTGTCTGAGGGCAAATTTGAACTCAGGGCCTCCTGCCTCTGGGGTCAGTGCTCTCTCCACTGCGCCACCTAGCTTTTGTAAGTGGGATATGGTCATTCAGAGATGCATTCTTTCTGTTTCTGATGATCTGCCCACTTCCCCGCTGGGTTTCTTTGATGATTTGTAAACCCTTAGAAAGAGTGGGAGCAAGTCATGGGACTCTATACCACGTCTTTTTGCAAAGCAGATATCATTTTTGCAATATGAGTAATCCCCAAGACACTAATTTGAGGAAATCCGGTCTACCTCCGGCAACAGATTGATAAGAAGCCTTTCATGTCTGAAACAGTGGGCACTGCAGGGAGGTTTGGGCTGGTGGTGGGTGGCTGGGGCCTTCTTAGGGTAAGAGGGATGGAAAGTCGCCTTGTATCCTGGATGGAGGAAGTCGGGAAATGTGATGGCGATCAGCGATATGAGGGTGGAGGGTGACTGCTTGCGGGCTGTCCTTACCCCAGAGAGCTGGAGGCAAGAGGGCGCAGCTTTCATTGTACAGTTGTCTCTCTTTGGCACTTAATGCCCATTACAGTCTGGTCCCAGCCTGCCTTTCCAGACATCCTTAGTATGCTGCTCACCCTCACACACTCTGTGGACCAGTCAGATTGGCCCACTTAGAGGCCCCCGATGGGGCAGTGGATGCCACACTGGGCTCAGAGTCGAGGAAACCTGCGTTCACATCCAGCCTCAGACTGTTAAACAGCTGAGTGACCCTGGTCAAGTCACTAAACCTCTGTTTGCCTCAGTTCCCTCATCTGTGAAGTGGGGATAATAATATCACCTACCTCGTGAAGATAAAATGAGCTAATATTTGTGAAGCACTCAGCACAACGCCTGGCATATATGGGGCACTTAATACATGCTGATTTCCTTCCTTCCTCCCATCTTTCGTTCCTTTTTCCCTCCCTCCCCTCATTCTCCTCACGCTTAGATTTGTCTGCTCTTCATGGCCAACCTCTCAGAATCCTCAATGTCCTTAAAACTTTGCTTAGGTGATAGCTTCTGCCCGAGGCCGTGTGTGTGTGTGTGTGTGTGTGTGTGTGTGCGCGCGCGCGTGCTAAATAGGTGACTGGTGAGTACACTTCTCCCAAGCTTCTGCTTCTCTTGGATGGGCCCTCAATTCCTCTCCCTCGCCTTTGTTATCAAAATAGGAGTTCTTACCATTTAGGTTTTCTACTTTTGTTTTATTTTATTTTTTAAAAAAATTTATTTATTTTTAGTTTTCAACATTTACTTCCACAAGATTTTGAGCTCCAAATTTTCACCCCATCTCACCCCTCCCCCACCCCAAGATGGCATGCATTCTGAATATCCCTTCTCCTAGTCTGCCCTCCCTTCTATCTTTCCTCCCCTTCTCTTATCCCCTTTCTCTTCTATTTTCCTGTAGGGCAGGATACATTTCTGTACTCCATTTCCTGTATTTCTTATTTCCCAGTTGCATGTGAAAACATTTTTTTTAAACATGTGTTTTTTAAAACTTTGGGTTCCAAATTTTCTCTCTTCCTCCTTCCCTACCCACCTTCATTGAAAAGGCAAGCAACTCAGTATAGGTTGTACATGTGCAGTTATGCAAAACACTTCCATAGTAGACATGTTGTGAAAAACTAACTCTATTTCCCTTAATCCTATCCTGCCCTCCCATTTATTCTATTCTTTCTTTTGACCCTGTCCCTCCTCAGAAGTGTTTGCTGCTGATTACCCCCTTTTCCAATCTGCCCTCCTTTCTGTCATTCCCCTGCTCTTTTGTCCCCTTCTCCCCCTATTTTCTTGTAGGGTAAGACAGGTTTCTATACCCAATGCGTGTTATTCCCTCCTTAAGCCAAATCTTATGAGAATAAGATTCCCTCATTTCCTCTCACTTTCCGCTGTTTCCCCTGCACTGTAAGAGCCTTTACTTTTCTGTTTTTTTGTGAGATAATTTACCCCATTCTACCTCTCCCTTTCTCCTTCTCCCAGTATAATCCTCTCTCACTCCTTAATTTTATTCTCCAGATATGACCCCTTCATCTTCAACTCACCTTGTGCCCTCTATCTATCTATCTGTCTATCTCTCTGTCTGTCTGTCTACCTATACATACATACATACATATAATTTTTTCCCTCCAACTACCTTAATACTGACAAAGGTCTCATGAGTTATAAATATCACCTTTCCACGCAGGAATGTAAACAGTTCAACCTTAATAAGTCTCTTATGATTTCTCTTTCCTGTTTACCTCTTCATGTTCCACTTGAGTCTTGTATTTGAAAGTCAAATTTTTTATTCAGCTCTGGTCTTTTTTTTTTTAATTTCTTTTTTCTTTTGTTATTTTTAGGCAATTGGAATTAAGGGACTTGCCCAGGGTCGCACAGCTAGGAAGTGTTAAGTGTTTGGTCTGAGGCTGGATTTGAACTCAGGTCCTCCTGACTTCAGGGCCAGTGCTCTATCCACTGCGCCACCTAGCTGCCCCTCAGCTCTGGTCTTTTCATCAAGAATGCTTGAAAGTCCTCTGTTTCACTGAACGACTATTTTTTTCCCCTGAAGGATTATACTCAGTTTTGCTGGGTAGATGATTCTTGGTTGTAATCCTATCTTCTTTGCCCTCTGGAATATTATATTCCATGCCCTGTGGTCAACTTAATGTAGAAGCTGCTAAATCTTGTGTTATCCTGATTGTGTTTCCACAATACTTGTGTTTCTTTCTGGCTGCTTGTAATATTTTCTCCTTGACCTGGGAACTCTGGAATTTGGCTACAATATTCCTAGGAGTTTTCCTTTGGGGATCTCTTTCAGGAGGAGATTGGTGGATTCTTTCAATTTCTATTTTGCCCTCTGGTTCTAAAATATCAGGGCAGTTTTCCTTGATAATTTCTTGAAAGATGATGTCTAGGCTCTTTTTTTGATCATGGCTTTCAGATAGTCCAATAATTTTAAATTCTCTCTCCTGGATCTATTTTCCAGGTCAGTTGTTTTTCCAGTGAGATATTTTACATTGTCTTCTATTTTTTTATTCTTTTGGATTTGTTTTACAGTGTCTTGATTTCTCATAAAGTCACTAGCTTCCAATTGCTCTATTCTAATTTTTAAGGAAGTATTTTCTTCAGTAAGCTTTTGGACTTCCTTTTCCATTTGGCCAATTTTGCTTTTCAGGGCATTCTTCTCATTGGCTTTTTGGACTTCTTTTACCATTTGGGTTGGGCTATTTTTTAAGGTGTTATTTTCTTCAGTATTTTTTTGGGTCTCCTTTAGCAAGCTGTTGACTTGTTTTTCATGATTTTCTTGCATCACTCTCATTTCTCTTCCCAGTTTTTTCTACTTCTCTTACTTGCTTCTCAAAATCCCTTTTGAGCTCTTCCAAGGCCTAGGACTGATTCCTATTTTTCTTGGAGGCTTTGGATGTAGGAGCTTTGACGTTGTTGTCTTCTTCTGGTTGTATGTTTTGATCTTCTTTGTTACCAAAAAAAGATTCTATTGTCTGACTTTTTTTTTTGCACCTTTGTTTACTCACGATCCCAGCCAGTTACTTGGGTTGTAAACTCTTTGTTAAGGTAGGGGTCTGCTTCCAGCATGGAGAATGTACTGTTCCAAGCTTCCGGGGTTTTGTGCATCTGTTTTCAGAGACACTTGTAGGGACCTGTAAATTTTCAGTTCTTGCAAGGTGGTATGATCAAGGGGTGAGGTGTTTACTCCTTTTCTGGCCTGTGCTCTGGTCTATGAGTGACCACGAGCACTCCTTTCTGTCCTGGAACTGTGAGGAGGATTTCTGCTTCTCCTCACCCCAGGACTGCCACCTAGAACTGTGACCCAGATCCAAGCACTGGCAAAGCAGGAGAATCCAGCACCAGCAGAGAGATCCCTGCAATCTGCCTCTTATCAGCCACTGGATTCCCCCTCAGTCTGTGGGCCAGCAGCTCAGGAGGCAGCTGCCCCAGGGCCACGCTCAGGAAATGGGGCTGAGACCTAGCTTCTCTCTCACCACAGAAACAGACTTTTCCCACTGACCTAAGTTGTCTTTGGTGTTCGTGGTTTGAGAGGTCTAGAAACCACCACAGCTACCTGTGATTCAGTCCTCTGAGGCCTGCTTCAGGTTTGCTGCAGCTTGCGTGCCCATGCCGAACTGCGTTCCTCTCCCAGCCTGGCGTAATATGCCTTTCTGATCAACCATCCGGGTCATCTTGGGCTGGAAATTTGTTTCACTCTTCCTTTTTGTGGGTTCTGCTGCTTTAGAATTTGTTTAGAGCCATTTTTGTAGGTATTTGGAGGAGTTTGGAGGAGAGCTCAAGCAAGTCACTGCTTTCACTTCGCCATCTTGGCTTTGCCCCCCCAGGTTTTCTACTTTTATCTTTGATGGGTTTTATTAGTTGCAGATATGTTCTTTTGCAGTTCCATTGGTTTCTAGGATATGTCCCAATGACGTCTGTCGCATTTGGAAAAGTGGGGCCAAACTGCGTGTTGACATCACGTTATTGGGCTTTGAAAACATGAGCTGGATAAGAGGAAGACGCAGCTTCATTTTTAAGGGAGAGGGTAAGTGATGCTGTATTCCTAGCATTCACTGATTGCTTCCGAACGAATGTTGAAGTGTATCTGAATGCACGGAGGATTTTGTGGTTGCCGTGATGTGGTTGTGTCTCTTATCGACAGCAGATAAGAAACCAGAACAGTAGTATTTCCCACTCATCGCTTGTTTCTTACCTTGTGTTTGTGTATCTGGCTGAATCTCTAAGCAGATTATAAACTCCTGGAGGGTAGGAACCATGTGTTATGCCTCTTGGTCTCCCCTTAGCCCAAGTGTGGTACCTGGCACGACAGGCTCCAATAACCTCTGCTCCCCAGCAGATAATCCACAACTGTGGGGATTTTCAGTGTCTTTTTGAAGATTAGATTGCAAGCTGATTTGACTGTCCTCTCAAGCACCCTTTTTTAAAGGGAATTTCCTCTTTTGTAAAATGAGGGGGTGGGCATCTACATTTACGTCATCTGCACGGCCCCATGGTTCTGTGATTCTGAGGTGGTCCAAAAGTTTGTTGGGCATGAGGGGAAGCCAGTCAAAGAGAACCCACGTTTGGGTCATTTAAAACTGATTTAGCTCATTTGATGAAGTGAGATCTTGGAGGAGTAATTTGAAGGAGAATGACTCTGAACAGCTAGTGGGGTTTTCTTCTTTCTCTCTTATCTTTCCGTCACACTTGATTCTTCTTCTGTCCCATGTTAACAGATAGCTGGGCGGAGCTGATGGAAGTTAACCACGATGACAGAGTTGTCACGACCGAACATTTTGATCTCTCTCAAGAAATGGAGCGCCTCACATTGGATTCCATGAAACCCAAAGGGAGGGAGGTGGAGAGGCGCCTCACGTCTCCCGTCATCAACACCAGCCTGGAGACTAGAAACATCGCTTTTGAAAGGTACTCCTTGAAGCTCTGCATGTTAATGACCGATCCCTTCGCCGCTGCCCTTGAGTGCCTCTGACACGTCATGGAAAGTGACGGGTGCATTGGGACCTTGAGGATGTGACATGCTAAATGCCAGTGGGCTTAAAGCCAGCCTTGACTCTCACAAGCGTAAATCGCCGCGGACAGTCGGTGTGGCATTGGTTTTTATAGTTCATTAGTTAGAAGCCTTCTGGGGAAAACGTGTCTCTGTCTTCTTTTATGGGCCCCTCCCCACTGGTCTTTATGGAGTCCGGAGACGTTTGAATTGTTAGATACCCTTCCCCGTCTGCAGCCTGTGCCACTCACGAGTGGTATCTTCTTTATCTTTCTGGGTTGGGCTAATGTTAGTTCAGTGGTCATTTTAACAATGGTAGGTTTGTGTTTCTTCTTACGAGCCTTAATGGTTTTTATTTTCTTTGCTCTACAGGAAGAGCCATTTTAGAGAGCTCTTTGCCTCGGTTTTCCAAAATTACCATTACTGCTGATTCACTTTTGGGTTTCATTCATTAATATGCCAGGAAGTTCTCATAAGAGATGAGAAAGGAGACTTGGGGGAGGCTTCCTTGGCCTCACCATTGTTTCTTGTGCTGTTTGGCCTGAGTATATATCTAGGATAATTCTCAAGGGAGCTCAGGAGAGCCCTGTTTGTTTGCCTAGGACATCACACCCATTTCTCTATAAATCAGATTCACATCCTGTGGAAGTTCAAGTTAAGAATGAAAGCATATTTTAATTTGTTCAGGTTTTTTTTTTTACTATTTCCTTTCTTTTTAATGCATTTTCTTAACTCTTCTATCTTTATTCTATAAAGATTTTTAAACAACATAGAAGGTTGAGCAAACTGGAAGGTTTCCTAGGCTCACAGCAGGATTTGGAGCTGGAAGAGGCCTTAGAGATCATCTCGTCCAGGCCTGTTGTTTTACCCTTGAGAACAGCACCTGTGACGGTAAAACGACGTCTTTGGTCACACGGGTAGTAAACAGCAAGGCCTGGGCTTGGCCCCTGGTCTTCCGGCCCCAAACCTTGTGCTCTTCCATCACGTTGTCCTGTGGCCAACTTAGAAAAAACTTCAGGCTTAGGTAGCTAATTGGAAAAACCAGCCTTACTCTCATGTTTCGCCATGTTCCTGGGGTTCAGGCACACAGGCCACATTGTTCTTGTCACATCAGCGAGAGTTACCCAAGCATTAGCCTCCATTTTCTTTTTTCTTTTTTTTTAAATTAATTGATTTTGATTTATCAGTAATCACTTCTATAAGCTTTTGAATTTAAAATTTTTCTCCCCCTTCCTCCCCACCACCCTCCCCAAGATGGTGCACAATCTGATATAGGCTATATATATACATTCTTATTAAACATATTTTCAAATTAGTGATTTGTAAGTAAAAATTAGAACCAATAGGATAGACTCCATTTTCTTCTCTGTCCTGGTGCCCCTCATTTTTAGTGATTGTGAGCCTTGCGGATCAGCCTGGCTAGAAGCTGATGCTAATGACTCTGAGCCCCGGTGAAGTTTGGGGGATGGCCCAGCGACCTCCTTTCCAAACTCCAGTTCAGAAGCAAGGGTCCGCTGTGCTGGGACTCTACACAGCCTCGCAGGCGTCTCGCTAGCTTCTTTTGAGGGCTCTTGGGAGGAATTCATCAAGAATGGCCACAAGACCAGGTCTCTTTTTCCTAATGTAATGGTCACCACCCCTTACTGCTGATAAATGAGCTTAGAGAGCGTCTGTGGTCATCATGGTTTGCTTTCTGGTGAAGGTGGACTAAAAGGTCAGGACATTCCAGTTCAGCTAAGAGTCAGGAACCCTTTGTGCAGATAGAGTCACAGAATTTGCATGAAATTTACCCCTCCAACCCTGACATTTACCAAGACACTAATCGATTCAGTTGATTAAATGCCTAATTCAAGCATTTGTTAAGCACCTACTGTGTGTCAAAGCAGTGCCTGGTGTTGGTGATGCAGAGGTAAGACCAGTCACCCACACTACCCTCAGGAAGCTTACCATTGACCCTAATTCTGATGGTGGTGGTTGTTTCCCAGCTCTGTTTCACGTGCAGAAGTGCCTTCTGTGGGCCAGGCACCAGGGATAGGGAGATGAAAACCTGGATCACTCCTGTCCTCAGGATTGTGGGCCTCACGAGGCCTTCAGGTGTAAGATAAGGAAAGGTGTGATGGAGCTGAGGGGAGCCCTAGAGCACTCAGGGAGATGTGGGAGGGAGAGTTCAGAGCCTCAGCTGAAGCTTAGATGAAGAAGTGCCTTCCAGCAGGGGAGATGGCCAGCTGGGAATGACCACTGGGTCACTTTTCTGAAGAGGCATTTGAACAACTGTGGAGAAAGGGGCTTTGTGGGCCCAGTTAGTTTTTAACAGTTAACTCTCCTTATTGGAATCTCCAGGCACAAGTGTTTATCAAGCTTGTAGTTAGGCATTTTCTTTCTCCCCTTTGTTGATGGCTTAATTTATTGCTATTTTTCCTCCATCTCTTCCTTCCAGTCTGTCTCTATGGACAGACTTACATAAGATGAAGCCTTTTCTCTCGTGCCACAGTCACAGGGAGAGTTGCACAGCATGCCAGTTGGTTTGAGAGCATCTTCCAAAATGCAGAGCAGCAGCTCCCAAGGAGAAGAAGGGATCTAGCCCCAGTCCGTTTTCTCCTTTGATGTCTGGCTGCTGTAGTCCAGCAAGGGGGCTCTAGTTTGCATGAAGCTTTCTGGCTTTGGAATTAGGTTCGAAATAAGCCGCAGTTGGAAGGAACATTTCTTACCTTGGAAACCTCTGGGGCCTTGTGCCCTTTCTAAGATGGCACTGATCAGTAGGCGAGGAAAGGCAAGCCAGAGCCAGCCAGGATGAGCAGAGCTAGGCGGTGCTGAGGGAGAAGAAGGCATTTGTTATAGCTCTTGGAATCCTTGGATTGGAAACACAGTCCAGTGTTGAGAATTGGACTGGAATTCTGGTAAAAGCCAGGATGGAGCATCTGGGATTTAATGGCTACCCAGTGTCTGTGTACCAGTTCACCCTAGTCAGTGGCTGGCTGACTGGGTCACAGGGCAAAGGAATGCCAGGATTGCTGCTCCTAGTGGGTAGGAAGTAGTTACCACCAAGGTTCATGCACATGATAAAGTTTTCATCTACCAGAGTAGGGGGAAGAACGTGGAGGACAGAAGCTGAGGATTTCTTCTAAGACTGGACATCACATGGATTAAAACTTTTTGGATAAATGTAATCTAAAGACTTTTGGAACAAATTAGGAAATGGGTAGAGATTTCTTACTTTTTTCCTGTCCATTTGTGACAAAATATATCAAATAAATGGCCCAAGGGAATGAGGCTGCATTTCAGAGGCTCTTGAAGCCGTTTCCCCGCCTTGGTTATGTCTTTCTGAAATGTAAACTCTCAGGCCTCAGGATTTTTATGTTCTCTTTTGTGATCTTTTTCTCCACTTACTACCTCTTCCTGCCCCCTTAGAGTGTGGGGTCATTAGGTAGGGAGAAGATAATTTGCAGAGAAGCAGTGAGAATAAAATCCCTTCTGTATTTGGTTAACGTTGATTATAGACACGTCTGATACAATAGGATTCCATATTCTGATCTCTTTTGATACATCAATTTTGTACTGATTCTTTTAAATTATTCTGTAATACTCTTATGAAAAGAACTTCTTTTATAAGGGAATTTAAATAAAAAATTAGATTGTTTGAAAACATAAGAAATAAAAGCTGATGGGTTTTCCTTATGATTTGGATGACACTCCCTCTACTGTGAGTTAGGACCAGAGCCACGCAGAATGTGACCAGCACCCAAGATGTAGACAAAGCAAGGTCAGAAGAGGACCACGAAGGAAGGTGTGATGTCCTAGACAAAGGGGCAGAGCCTTGCAGTGGCTCCTGAGTAAATGACGAGATTTCCCAGTGCTTCTGCTCTCTGAAAAACTATCAGGGTTATCCCATCATGAGTGGCAGCCTTGGGCAGGAGCACATTGAGTTAAACATTGGGTATTTGGGCACTTTGCCCAAGGCTCAGCTGCTGGTGTGCTATTGAGATAGGACAGAGTTGGAATCAATTACTCAAATGCCGCTTTTAACAACCTTCCCCTTGTGTGCCAAAGCTGACATTGCGTGACTTATGGCCCATTAATGGCTCAGGCTGTAGTGGGTTTTCTGAGCGCCCTACCACAGTGATAGCGTCTCTCCTCCTTCCCTCCCCCGTCCTCTTCTGAGCTGTGGGATGGCCTGTGTTTCATTGTTCTAAGAATTCCTCAATTGAGGTGAATCAGTTTGTTATAGAAGTCAGAGCTGGTGATGAGAGCTTGCTAATTTGGATAATGTGAGTCCTGACTCAGGGCTGACCTCATCTAGCAGCGTCTCTTGTGGGGGTCCACCTCCCTTCTTATGACCCCGGGGCCTGTGCCCAAGAATTCCCACAGCCCCTGTGGTCATCTGGAGAGAATCCTAATGGGCAAGTGCTTCACACATTGGATTCTCGCCCCAGACCTTGAGATAGAGGGTCTGAGTATTGTTCCCATTTTTCAGATGAAGAAACATCCTCAGAAGGGGAAGTCACTTGTGCAGGGTCACATAGTTAGTAAGTGTCAGCCGAGCTGGATTCCCAGGTTCCTCCCACCGCCCCCAGCTGCCTTGGGCCAGTGAGGCATTCACCATGCTGCTGCTGCAGATCTCCCTGCCAGGCCTGGGGCCTGCTGGTCAGAGAGTCGGGGGGAGGGGGGAGGGTGTGACGGTGGCCCTCTCTTTGCTTTCATGTCGACAAGACGACTGTAGTTTCCAAGGTTCTTAATCCTGCCTCGTTTGCTAAATTCAGCTGGAAAAAAAAATGGAAAGACTAGAGGGGTGAATCTGAATGGCATGTTGTACATGTACAATTTGTGGTGTTCACTTTTTATCAGAACTAAATCCGGATTCTGGGGCTGGAGGACAGATAAAGCAGAAGTTGTTAATGGTTACGAAGCAAAGGTAAAATGAAACTCTTCAAATAAGATTTCATATGGCTTTTGAGCTCCTATGCAAATGAAGGCCTCTTGTGGGCCTTCCTGGCACTTTAACCCTCAAGGTGATTGGGGTCTGGGGGAAGGACTTGACGTAGTAACTGCTACTGGGTCTGACTTGGGAAGACTTAGCCCCTAGAAAGGGGAAGCTCTTTGGAAAGAGAGTGAGTACAGACTCTCGAACCAAAACCCAGGCCAGCCCTTAAACAAAAAAGAAGGTTCCAAATTTAACACAGTTGTTTACTTGTTTTTATAATGTTCTTTGTAAATAGTAACAATTGGCTTTCATTAGTTTTTTTTTTAATTCTAATCACAATGGAAGAGTTTCTACCACTTCAGTCATTATATCAGGGATTGAGCTTTTTGTGGTTTTTTTGTGTGTGTGTGTTTGTGTGGTAGAATAAAGCTCTTTTACCCAAGATCCCGTATACTACAGCTCTCTGTTAATTGTGGCCTTTCTTCTGAGCTGTAGCCTAATGATGAGATGAGATTCATAACAATGACCTGAAGGTGCAGTGAGATCCCGAAATGCCTTCTGGATTCAGCGTTGTGTTCGGCATGGTGACTTTATTATAAGTTTGAAAGCTGGCAACCCCTCAGTGAGCTATCAGTGGGAACTCTGTTAACCAGAATATTGGTTAACCCAAACATCCCATTCCCCAATCATGTTGTGTGGGTTAAGTGCCATCCAAATAGTTAAAACAGAATAACCCACTGTCCTTGGCTCATTTTTCTCCCAGTCTCCTAGGCTTAGAGAACCTTGAGTTCCTTATTTTTCTTCATCCGGCAGATGGCTGCCTATGCCAAATAATCTTAGAACCCCATTCTGTTAGGCACAAGAGAGATGACAGAAGAAATTCAGCCCGAAAACTTAGACATGGGTGAAATGTTCCATGATAGGAACTGTAGGGAGAAAGCAGTGCCAGTAGGATGGTGAATCGACCCGTGGGGATGTCCCTCCTCACTTACGCTGCTGTTGTATTTGCAAACCTGGAGCTTTGTGGGTTTGACCATAGCCAGGGATCCCCAGAAGTGGAGTTTGTGTTCACCATTTCCTGTTTTTTTTCCAATGGTTCAGAATTTTTGCGCTTGGTTCATTTTTAAAGTTCTGATGTTGACATTCTGATTTTCTGTGAGTAACTGGTCTTTTTTTTTTTGGAAATTTCCCCAAGGTTTACACAGTAAACAATGTAAGTGTAATAACCAAAATACGAACAGAACATTTGACAGAGGAAGAAAAAAAGAGATATAAAGGTAACTTTGGGGGGTCGGGCCTGAATGACAGAGCCTTCTGTTGCATGGTGTGGTCTATTGAGTTGTTGAGTAAAGAAAACAGGAAGGCTACATTTTCATGTATTCACTCGATATGGAAGGGATAATTGTAGTCTTAAATAGTTTTTTCCAAGTGTTATCCAGTTTAAAAAAAAGAAAACCTAAGCCTGTAATGGACTCATTTTTTTCTTTCCCTTCAGGCCTTCTTTTTCATTAGTGAGAATAAAAGCTTGAGAGATTCACAGATATTAAATAACTTAAAAGTTCCTAAGATTTAAAGCCAAAAAGAGTCTTAGAGACCATTTCTTCTCTGCCTCCTCCCAAACCCCATTTTACAGATGGAGAGAGTGGGGCTCAGAGCATCAGGTTTTACTAGTGAGCTATAGCAGAGTCAGAATTGGAACCCAGGTTTCCTGATTCCTCTGCATGAGAAGACAGCACATTCTTGAGTGGTCATCAGTCAGTTCTGCTGGTGACATGTCCAGCCCTGGGCTCAGTGCTATGGATAGCAAGATGAAAAATGGACAAAATGGGCCCTGTTAGCAGGGAGCCTCACCTTCTGGTGGGGGCCTAGCAGGGCTTGCCCAGTTAGGGACAGCTTTTAAAGGTGATGGAGCCAGCACCCCACACTCCCATCTTCCCGTCTGACTTCTCAGCCCTGGCCCAGTCAGACACGTCGGTGTGCCAGAAGCTTGCTTGCTGAGGGAGCGCAACTGACATGTGGCACTTTGAATTCAGGTGTATGTTTTTCCTTCCACAGCTGACAGGAATCCCTTGGAATCCTTGCTGGGGACTGTAGAACACCAGTTTGGTGCTCAGGGGGTAAGTACAGTGGACGTTCCAAGGCCCCCGAGTAAATCCAGGAGTTCCCTGGGAAAGGCTGAGGACACAGAGATGGCCCAGAGGGAGGGGTCAGGTTCTTCCAAGGTTAGAGAGAGAGGAGATGTTTTTGTTTTTCTTTTACAAGTGTCCAGACACAGAGCGTGAAGGAGGAAGAGGGAGGATTGTAGGCAGGTGTTTGGAACTGTGGGCCTTTGCCACGGAGGGTGGACTGGGCATTTTTCTTCTTTGTTAAAGGATTGCGACAAGAAGCATGGAGCAGAGAGAGATGAAGCACACTTTATTTCTTAATTCCCGAAAAGGGAAGCCCTGAGGCTCATTAGGCTGGTGGTGGATGCATTTGTGACTCGTGCCCATGTTTTGTGCAGTGGCTGACAATGCTCTCCCTGTTTAAGACAGTCCATCTTTGAGTTTCTCTCTCATGCCTGTGGGCACAGTCTTTACACAGCTTGGGTTTCAGTGGGCAGAACGGGCAGGAGGGCCGTGTGTGCAGTGCTCTCCTGGGTCACTTTTGCAGGACCTCACTACCGAGTGTGCGACAGCGAACAACCCGACGGCCATCACGCCCGAGGAGTATTTCAACGAAGAGTTTGATCTGAAGGACCGAGACATAGGGCGACCAAAGGAGCTCACCATCAGGACCCAGAAGTAAGATGCTGACAGCGCCAGCAGAGGAGCTGGGGCCTGGGGTGCTCTTGCCTCCAGAATTCTTGTTTGCACACGTGTTTTTTCTGTTTTAGTACATGTCAGTGTTGGTGTTTCCTCTTTTCATGCTTGACACTCCCCCCAGCTCCAGTGTTCTCCAGTTCTAGTGTAACTGGAAATCGTGAGCTAGACCCTGCGTGCTCCTTGGCCCTGTACGGTGAGGGGAGGTTCTCACTTGTGTCCCTGCTCGTACTGGTGGGCCTTAGTCTGTTACTCTATGCCTGTAAAATGGCTAACTCTGCCCTCCGTCCACTGGCAGGGGTGATGAAATGTGGACTTGTTCCACACCTCAGGTTCAGACCGAGGGTGAAAGTGAGAGCCCGTATGGCTCAGGGCTGGGGTTCGGAGACATTAGGATTCCTCAAAGTTCTGTTTTTGTAAGCTTGGTTTCCGAACATTGAGATGCTTTGCATGTAGTAGGCACTTGATAAATGTGTTTTGAATGTAATTACTAGCAGTGTTTGTGAAAGAGTGAGGTGGTGGCATCTAGCCCATTGTATCTGAGGAGTCTGATTTCCTTGTTAGCCAAAGAAGGAATGAGAACGCTTTTATGAAGCCACCGCTGTGCCAAGAAGGGCCGAGGATGCCCGTGGAGCAGTGAGAGTCCCTGCCCTCTCGCAGCTCCCCTTCTAAGATGGCGGCAGGCAGCCCTGATGGCTGGGGGGGCTCCCAGGCCGTGGCGATGGGCCCAGAGTTGTCTTTGTTGATCTCACAGGTTTAAAGCCATGCTTTGGATGTGTGAAGAGTTCCCCTTGTCTCTGGTGGAACAGGTCATTCCCATCATTGACCTCATGGCCAGAACCAGCGCCCATTTTGCTAGACTGAGAGATTTCATCACTCTTGAGTTCCCGCCTGGATTTCCTGTCAAAATTGGTAGGTCTGCCTCTGTGTCTGTGATTTCCCGTGATCTTTTTGTAAATTAAAGTAAGCACAAACTTCAGGACTCAGGCGATTTCTAGGGATGTGTCTCGCGGGAAGTTAGAGGTGTCCGGGAGCCCCCCAGGGATGGCCCTCTTTGTAGAGACTGATAAACTTCATCTGGGGTGCTGACATTGGTGTGCCGTGGGCGCCCGCTCTGGTGCAGAGGATGAGCTGCTTGGCTTCGCCTAGAACCCGACCATTCCTGAGCCCTGCCGAGGGTTCGAGCATAGTGACTCATGTACCAGCTTCTTCGTTACCTCCTTGTACTGGCAGAAAAGCCCTGTAGAGAGATCCGTGGGCCAATGGTGGACTCCCCATGCCAGACTGATGTGTAGTTTGTTATTTTAAATCCTTTTAATATACACCGTAGTCTCTGCTTCTTGATTCTGTATAGAGTGAGTCTTACATGGGAATGAAGGTCATTTGTTGGGGAAAATAAACCACTTAATTTTAAGGCCCAAAGATTTATATATCTGTCTGATGCCTTGGTTACTTTAACGTGAGTCAAACCTTAATATGTGATACTCCATTATGAAAGGGGCCGAGTTCACCAGGGAAGATTCTGGTCTTGGTTTCTTACATTTGGACGCATTTTAGGCCCAGGGTCGTGGACTCGTAAGGTCCAGCTCTGCCCTTTTGTCCTGGGACACCCTGACACGGCTGCTTCTGTGACCCGGGGTGGCCCCGGCTCTGGAGGCAGCGTGGGGCTGTCAGGGCCTGGGGGACCTGCTTTTTAGAAAGTGAATCTAAGCCACAGTTGCTTTGCACGGGGAAGTAGACATCATGGATTCCAATGAAAATACTTTTCTTTTCTCCTTAGAAATTCCATTGTTTCATGTCTTGAATGCACGGATTACCTTTGGAAATGTCAATGGCTGCAGCACTGCTGAAGAACCCGTTGCCCAGAGTGTGGACGGGGGACATGCCGACCCAGGTGAGCAGGGCCAGAGGAGATGGTGACTTAGCCAGTGGCTGGGGCAGGATCTGAACCCACATCTTTTTGACTTCCAGTCCAGGCCCTCATTCACTTTGACTTGTTGCCTTGAAAGATGAAGTAGTGATAGTGTTCTGGCATTGGAGTCGGGAGGACCTGAGTTCAAATCCAGCCTCAGGCACTCAACCCTTACTAGCAGTGTGAACCTGGGCAAGTCACTTAACCCCTGTTGCCTCACCAAAAAGCAAAAAAAAAAAAAGAAAAAGAAAAAAAAAAAGAAAAATGAAGTAGTGAGAATATGTGGAGAATTTTTTTTCCTTTTTCATTAATGTACAATTCTTAAAAGGTCTGTTTGAAATGAAATGAAATGATCAGATTTCAGCTCTGCTATATTCCAAAATGTGGGTAAATTCTTAGACTCTCCTCCCTTTCTAGTCACCTGTCCTGTTACTCCCCTTCACACACGCACTCTGTGCCCCGGCCAGACGTTACTTCCTGGTTGCCTCTGCCGCTGTCGACAGTCTTTGTACCTGGAATGCACTCCCTTCTCATCTCTGCTTGTTGAGACCCGTTACTCCTTCAGGGGTCAGCCCTTGCGCCATGTCCTCCATAATGCCTTTCCTGATTCTCCCTCCCCCAAATGCATTGTCCTTCCTTAGGTTTTCTGGCTCAGTCTGGGTTTCTGCTCTTTGTAGCTGTATTATGGGCCTTCCTCAGTGGATCGGCAGCTCCTTGAGGGCAGGGACCTGCAGTGCCTGGGCCGTCCAGTAGGATGCATGTGGATTCAGATGAGTTCCCTCAGGGGCTCCTGCCAGGCTTGCTGAAATGGGGTTTCATGGCCTTGATCTCTCTCCTTAGAAAAACAGATAAACCATTAGAGACTAGATTATAGAATTTGGAAACAGGCCAGGGCTGCTTTGAGCTCCCATGTGCACATGGCTGCAGCTGGGGGGAAAGGCTGCGCATGAGGAGTCCAGGTCACCTGACATCCATCCACGCAGCTCTGCCTGCTGCTGGACTGGTCATGAGGGTACTTTTGGTGGTGATGTTTTTAAAGGACTCTTCCTCTGTCCCTGCGCAGATTGTAATGCCTGTCCACAGTGATACACAGCCAGGACACAGGCTGGGTTTGAGCAGTGAATGACCCAGCCAGCTTTTTACTGTTCCTCCTTAGGCTCTGCTTCTCCTGAACTGCTGGTTTTAAGTGGACAAGAGTCGTCCGCACTGGCGGTCTCCCCCAGCTCAGCGGCCTGTGTCTGCTTTTGTGTTCCAGCTTCCCTGGTCTCTAACTTTGAGGTCGATCAGTCTGTGTTTGAAATCCCCGACTCTTACCACGTCCAGGATAATGGCAGAAACATGCACTTGCAAGATGAAGATTATGAAATCATGCAGTTCGCCATTCAGCAGAGCTTGCTGGAATCCAGCAGGAGTCAGGTGAGTGAGCTGGGGCTGCGGTTATCGAGGGCCCGGGACCGTCTGTCCCGCAGGGGCGGGGGCCTCTGTATCCTTGTGGCACTCGGCACTCAGCACATACTACGGGGACACGTGTCTGCATCTCATCTCCTCTCCTCGTGGTGGGAAAGGAATGGGCCACGCCTGCCTTCATATTCTCTGCTGCCCTTTTGTAAAAGCTCTAAGAGCTGACCTTTGGCCGGTGCTGCATCTGCCGTCCCCCAGGAGCCCAGCCGTTAGATACAGGCGCTAAGTGGTTTGCCTGATCGTGGGGTGAGGAAACATCTCAGCCATCTCAGACTCAGCTTGTCCACAAGAGAACAAATTGTCTTCTTCCAAGCTCTCTCACTTTCCAGACTTGCTCATTACTATCATGGCCTCCACCATCCTCCCAGGCACCAGGCCTCACATTCCTGCTGCGCATCCTCACCCCACATAGCCAGGTGTTTGGCCTCATCTCGCACCTCTGCCTTCACGGCGTCTCTCGTCCCCCTTCCCCACCCAGACGGCCATGCCTCTCGCACAGGCCCTCTGCTCACGCCTGGACTGCTCCGGACAGTAGCTGCTGGGGGGCCTGCCAACCTTGAGGTCGCCCTCCACTGAGCTGCTGCAGGCCTGACAATGTCGCTGCTCCCCAGCCCTGGGAGCTCCAGGGGCTCCCCATTTTCCTCCAGGGTCCTGTAGAAGGTCCTCTGGGTGTCTGCACTGATCCACAACACTGCCACCTCCCATCTCTCTGCCTTCGCCTAGGTGGTATCTCATCCTTCCCGGGCCCTCTCCTTGGGCCCGGCTCGCCTTCCTTCCCTCTCATCTTCACCTCCTTGCTCCACTCTCACCTTTCTGCAGGAGGCCTTTCCCCTGCCCCAAGCTGGTAACGCTTCCCCCTTCAGATTACCTTCCATTTACACTGTGTCTCAAGCGTGTGTGGTCCTCATGCTCCTTGTTGTTTATAGGTTGGGTTGCCCGCTAGGATGGCCATTCTTGGGCAGCGGGCACTGTGCATTTGTCTTTCTCTGTATCCTCAGCACTTAACAGAGTGCCTGGCATACAGGAAGGGTTTAATAAGTGCTTCTTGACAGACTAACCCGAGGTTTTCCTGAGAGCTTGGCACCCTCGCCACTAGCCCGCGGCTGATTTCTCTCGTTGATTCCCTTCTTCTGCTCGTTCATCTGTTAAAATGTGTTTTTGCTTAAGAGCGTGCCTGCTGAGGGGTGTATGTGTGTGTGCGTGTGTGTGTAAAATACTGTGATGCTGGGGTGGCTCAGTCTCAGACAGAGACAAATCCCTTTATTGTGATGGTTCAGTAAGTGGTACAACTAATGGGTTTTTTGTTTCATTTTGGTTTGGTTTGGTTTAATTCTGGTCCAGATGAAGCTCCTCCCCCATCAGTTACAGATCTACCCTAATCTTATTATCATCTAGTAAGAGTATTTTTTTAAATGGGAATAGCATGAGCTAGATACTTCATCAATGCTTCACCCAAATCAGGTCATCTCTCTCTATAGCAATCCCCTGAGCTCTTGACTTAGTAATAACACACGAACCGACGTAAGGTTAGTTGGGCATGACTTCTGCCTTGGGAAGCCATGCTGGCTCTTGGTAAACATTTCTTTCTTCTCTTGATGTTCACTAACTGTCTCTTAAAAGACCATTCTATAATATTCACAGGAATCAAAATTGGGATCATTGGCCTATAATGTGCAAATACTATTTATCTTCCCTAAACTCTCAATTTTAGTGTCTTCCCGTTTATCCTGTCTATATCACCTGCTCTGTACATACCTACCACCTTGTAAGCTCCTTGAGGGCAGGGACCATCACCTGCTTCTTTCACAAGGCCCTGCATTGTCAGTTTGGGCTGTAGGTCCCATCGCCAGACATGAAGGAGACAAAACTGTGTCCCCGTCATGAAAGTGTAAGAGCCTAACACATTTGTACACAGGGAAGTTACCACTGCAGGCCAGGTATGGGCAGCTGACAGATCTGGTTTAATCTTTTTCTCAAAAAACATAACTCTGAATCTCTGTTTCTGCTTAAGTGGTGATGTTAAGTTCACGGTAAAAAAGAAATTAAGAAAAAAATGCTGTGACTCTTCTCAAACATTTGCATAAGAACATGGTTGATTGAGACTGGCTGGAGTCCCCAGATGAAGAATGCAGAGAAGATGCAGAGGGGGTCTGAGGCCAGGTGTGATGGACATTTTAAAAGCAGGAAGGGGCCTGGTCTGAACCCAGGCCTGAGCAGGAACCAAGTCATCAGGCAGGCTTTTCTTAGAGAACTCCAGTGATGAAGATTTCCCCCCCTTCATGTTCCTTCTCTCCATCCCTTTTTCCGTCTCTCCTTCCTCCCCCTTCTGTTGCTCTCTTCCTCTTTCTCCTCTCTCCCTCCCTCCTATCTTCCTTCCCTTCTTTTCCCTTCCCTCCTTCTTTCCCCTCCCTCCCTCTTATTTTCCTTCCCTTCTTCCTTCCTTCTTTCCCCTTCCTTCTCCTCTCCTTCCTCCTCCCACCTCTCTTCCTTCCCTTCCTTCCCTGCCCTGCCCAGTGCATCCATCCCCATTCCAATTCTGACCAGCTTTAATCATTAGCAAGTTTTCCTTATTGGGTCAAAGCCCATTTTCTTGCAGTTTCTACCCACTTTTCCTAGTTCTGCCCATTAGGACCAGCTAGGACAAGCCTGATACTTTTTTGCAGTGACAGTCTTTGAGATGTTTGAAGACAGCCATCATGTTCCCACCCCTCCAGGTCCACAGGATTCTCTTCTCCATTTTTCATAGTTTTCAGTGAAGACGTTTGTTTGGGGTACTGATAAGGCACACCGAGCGTTTGGGGTTAGACCTCTGGATGGCTGAGTGTGAGGCCCCTGATCCTGGATCTCTGTGAAGGCATCCTGCTTCCCCCAGAGCATCCGCCTCCACGGAACCGGCAGATTCAGCTCCTTGACCTTGGCCTCGATAGATGTTGTCATGATGATTTTCTCTAGTTTGTCTTGACACACAGAGATTGCCACGGACTTCCCTGCTCCAAGAGTTCTTAGTTGATGCCTTTCTTTTGTCTCCCTAGGATGTTCCGGGGCTGCCTTCGAATGGGGGATTCACTAGTCCACATCTCTACGACTCACAGTATGAAAGGTAAGGTGTTTGGACTCCCCTGGGTAGTAGAGCATAATTTCAACAGATTTTTAATTTTTTTTTAAGAAATGCTATGAAGTGAGGTGTCCCCTATGTTCCAAAGTGGTTTTTAAAATCTTATTTTTATTGGCATCTTTTGTTTTTCTATCACTTCCATCTCCCCGCTTCCACCCAGTGAACCATCGCCTCCTAACAAAGATCAGAGAAGAAAGAGAAAAAAAGGTGGTTCAGCCAAATCAGCGGGCACGACCCCTCTGTCTGACAGTGTCTGCAGCATTCCACGCCTGTAGACCCCCTCCTTTGCAGAGGAGCTCTGTCAGCTCAGCTTTGCCTGGGGACCCGCTTTGGTCATGCTGATGGCACAGCTCTCCGTGTGGGGGCCTGCTCTTTCTGCCTCCATTGGTGTCATTACATACGTTGTTTTCCTGATTCTCTTTTCTTCACGTCTTCCCATTGTCCTGTGAATTTTTCATATTCATTTTTCTTGTGACACAATAATGTTCTCCTCATTGACGGGCCGCTGTTTGCCGGCCATTTCCCAGTCGTCACACGTGAGCCTTTTCTTTGTGATGGGTTTTTTGGGTAATTCTCATGTCTTTGTCTCTAAGTTTGTAAGGACAGGGAACCTTGTGGGGAAAGCTGCCCCTGCTCAGTGTGGCCCATGGGCTGGCTCCTATCTGGTGACTCATTGCACAGGCTGAGATTGGGACCCATCGATGTCTTCATGGCCATGTCCTTCCGTGGAGACTTTGCCTGGGCTGGCTGCCTTGTCCTCCCGCCCTCTTTTGTACCCTGTGCCCTTCCTCTTCACATCGACCTGCCTTAGGATGGTGGGCTCATGCACTCAGACTAGTCTTGGCCTGCTCACCCCGCAACCCTCCACCCCGGTGGTTTTTCACTGTCCTTTGGGTCACCTGAAACTTGGAAGCTTCCAAGGTGGTGGCTTCCTATGAATCACAGCTGTGGGGCATCACAAGAGCCTGATGGGATATCTTGGGGTGCCCTCATCAGCCTGGGAGAGCTCCCACCCTGGAATCTAGCCTGCTCCCCCGGGCCCACAGTAGGGCTCTTGTGTGGTTGAATGTGAGGGAGAGGGTTGGAATAAGGAACAGAAGAGGGGGACGCGTGGCTTGAGAACAAGGCCTTGTTTTTTCCCAGGGCAATTCAGGAGAGTCTGCTCACTAGCTCCAATGGTCTCCGGCCCAGTGCCATGGAGGAGGCCAGGAATTTTGACACTGACTTGCAGCTTGCCATGGAGTTATCCGCCAAAGAGCTGGAGGAGCGGGAGCTGCGGCTCCAGGAGGAGGAGGCCGAGCTGCAGCAGGTCTTACAGCTGTCTCTCACCGAGAAGTAGACCCTCCCCCCCCCGCCAGCTCCAGCAGCAGGGGCCCGTGCCTGGGCCTGGCTTCCCGCCTCCTTGCTGGTGGACTACAAGGTGCAGCTTCCAGTGGGCCATTTTCTGAGGGGGAGGGGGGTCAGCTGCCGCGTGGCCCGGCTGCGGCATCACCGGACTTGCACCCTCAGCCCCCGTTGGCCAGCGCTGGCTCATGGGTCACCTCCGCTAAAACTGAACCTAACCAAAAACTCTGCCAAGGTTTGTAGGTTTCTGTTTATCAAGGAATGATGGGAAAATACCACAGTCGAGGTGCTTTTATATGTGTGCACGCAGGCTTGTACATGTTACACGCACACGCGCACACACACGACATCGATGTGAGAGCAGAATGTGGTTTGTGGGGCTCACCAAAGAAGTGGGTCCATTCAGATCTCCCACCTGGAAGTGGGATTTCTGGTCTTGTGGACACTTGCTCTGCCCACGTTCCCGGCTAATGTTCAAAAGGAGAAATGTGTGGCATCTCTGAGACTTTGATGAACTCTGTGTTGGGTCTGGATTCGTGTCTGACCATGACAGTCTGCCAGTCTGCTGTGGAGAGGGGGCGGCTGAGCCTGAAAAGGCGATTCCCATCTGACTGGTGCCTCCTTCAGCCCCACTGGCCCCTGGGGGTCACTATTTGGTCAGCATGTCCCCTAACCCTGTGCCCCGAAGGGGGCACCCCTAGGAATCTTTAGCTTTGGCAGTTCACCTGTTGCATGTGGAGGATTAGGGCAGCCTGAAACCAAAATAAGAAAGCTTCCATGGAACGTGCTGTCTCTAGGGAAGGAAACATACACCAAAGTACATGAAGAAGTCTCAGCTGGGCCGTATTCTGAAGGGAGAAGAATGGAATTATAACTAGTAGGTCAGCTCAGTGTTGACTGATGGCTCTTGAGCAGCCCAAGGGGAAAGTTCTAATTGCTTTTTACAGTTCAAATCTACATCTTTCTGGATATATATTTTTTTAACTGACTCTCTTTTTATTACTTTTGAAAAAAATGAAAGAAAAATCTTCTCCCACCAGTAGCAATACAGGCATCTATTTTAACCAGGTTTTCTCAGGCCTTTTTTAATACCTTTAGCAATTTAACTATTTTGTCTAACCCTTCTGTAAATATCCATCTCACCACATATAGAGCAGTGTTGAACACAAACGACTACACTCCACACCGCAGGCCATGTTTGTTCCTGAAGGAATTCCTCTCAGCATTGAAATACCTTGACGGGCCCACCTCAGCCGCAGACTCGGCTGCCATTCTGTGGAGTCGCCCAGGAGATGGAGGGGAGGTGGATGTTGGGGATCATTTCAGGATCCCCCCTTTAGGGTTGCTGGCAAGATGTTTCTAGTCACATAGGACAATGTTTTTTAATGCCTTATAATCACCTACCTTTTTGTGTAATTGTCCGATTAAAATTCCTTCTATGCACAACAAGGCCAGTGGAGTCTACGTTGCGTTTATCTCAAACTATGCACCTTATTAGTGTTTTGTGAACCTGACTTTGAACTTGGGAATTGTTGGTGAATGGATGAAGGTATTGATCCGCTGATGTGAATCCTTGTGGGTCAGCCCAATGCAGAGGGACAGCTCAGCCTCATGGCACTCACGGATGGGTGCAGTGCACATAAAATGCCACGTCTTTGGAGGCCAGTCGTCTCTCAGTATTTCAGTTATACTCTCAGGGCTGATTTTTTTTTTGGCTCAGAATTGGAGAATAGTCCTCTACATACCCTGTTATGTAGAAGAAATGCAGAGAGGTTTTGGAAGGGGTAATAGAACTTATTTCAGTCCTTGAAGGTGCTTTGATTTTCTGTGTGGAAATCCTTCCTTTTCTTCTTTCCTTCTTTCTTTTCCTTCCTTCCTTCCCCTTTTCTTCCCTCCTTGTCTTCTCTTTGCTTCTTTCCTCCCTCCCTTCCTTCCTCCCACTGATGTCACAGTCAAAGATCATTAAGAGTGGTTGTGGACAAAAAGTTGAGCCCTCTGTGGTACACTCAGAGACCACCCTGTGGTGCCTCTGAGCCTGTACTGCAAGCCTTTCTGGCCCAGTGTAGGGTCTACCAGAGTTGAGTTGGCCCCCCCGGTAAAAGCCATTGTGGTGCCTCTGAGCCTGTACTGCAAGCCTTTCTGGCCCAGTGTAGGGTCTACCAGAGTTGAGTTGGCCCCCCCGGTAAAAGCCATTTCTCTAGCACAACAAGGCATCAGAGGACTGTATGGTGCAGTGTTACAACCTTGATTAAATTCTTACCCAAACCCAAGGTCTCCCCCCAACCCTTCTGAAGGCTTCTGGAATAGAATCAGTTCACCACTCTCTAGAAAGGGAGGCAACATCCGGAGGTATCTGCTGGCTCTTACATAAAAGGAAAGTGGAGGTCAGGATCATGGCTGGTTTTACATCTTTCTTCTAGGCTGGGAGACAAGCCTCTTTTGAATTAGGAAAGGAGAAGTAGTTTTAAACATTTCTTTAACGCACTGTCTCTTTAGGCCATGCTTCAGGGGATCTGTATTCTTCTTGGCATGAATTTTCTGTCTGCCATTGCAAAACAGAACCTGTTAACTCCCTCATATAGCATTTGTCCACATCTAGTCTTTTCATAGCACGGGGATCTGTTGACTTATTTTTTAAAAAATATTTTGATAATTATATTTCAATATGATTGTGGTTTCCTTTGTAATCTTATTTTGTGCACTTAAAAACATGATTCTGAGAAGGGGTCCACAAGTTTCATCAGGCTGCCAATGGGGTCCATAACACAAAAGTAGGTTCAGAACCTCTGCCATAGAAGAGCTGATCAATGTAGAAAGCCTTCCTCGGGTTCTTTTCCTGTTTTGTGGACGTACTGTTACAACATTCGAGCCATCCATCTCTTGTTTTTGATTTTTAAATTTTGGTTTTCTCTTTCATTATGATCCTAAGCATTATCAACCACAAACATTTCAACATACAAAGAACAAAAGGGGTTGTATGTGAAACTGTAGTCGGCTTATGTACAACTCATTTGAAAAACTTTCTATTAAATTTATCACAGTAAGAAATGCCTTTTGTGTCCCCTTTTTAATTTTTTTGTTCTGTGTTTTTAAGATGCTGTATTGATGTCTTTTGGGGGGGGGGCATCTATCACAATTAACCTTACTTTTTTCACTGCATCCTCTCCCCCTCCCAGCCCTTTCTTGTAACAAGCATAGTGAAGGAAAACATACCAATATATTTGCCATCTTTTGAGGGTCCACGTCTCCTTCTGCACCTCTGGCTTATCACCTCTGCCAAGAGGCAGGAAGTGAGGTGAGCATTAGCAGCAGTCTTTGTTACTACTTTGATCAGAATTCTAGTCATTCTCATTTATAGTATTTCAGGTGTATGTGTGGATGAATGAAAGGAGAATGAATGAATGAATGAAAAAGCATTTATTAGATGCTATGTAAGCACATATGTTCAGATGAAATGCAAATATGCAAAAGTGCAGGGCTGATACAAATTGTAAAGGAAGACAGTCCCTGCCCTCAAGGTGCTCCCATTGTTAATAGAGGGAGGCAACATGTCAAGGGTAGCCAGGTGGTGGCACCATAGTGGACAGAGCTCTAGGCCTGGTGTTGGGAAGACTCATCTGCAGTTCAGATCTGGCCTCAGACACTATGTGACCCTGGACAAGTCACTTAACCCTTTTTGCCTCAGTTTCCTCATCTGTAAAATGACCTGGAGGAGGAAATGGCAAACCATTCCAGTGTCTCTGCCAAGGAAACTCCAAATGGGGTCACAGAGAGTCAGACATAACTGAAATGGCCCAATAACACCACCATATAGGAGGCTTCAGCTTTTAAGTCAGATGGCAATGCTCACTGGTCCTTAAAGTGTCCATCAAGGTCCATCAAGGCTTCTTCAGTGGTCTTTCCATGAGTAAAACCATACCTGTTTCTGATGTTGTAATAATCAGATTATTTTTCTTGATTCTGGTAAATTCCCTGTGTCATACCATGCAAATCTTCCCCAGCTTCTTTGAATACTTCACATTCATCATTTATGATGTTATTCCATTCCATTCACTTATCACAGTTAAAGCCAGTCTCCATGTCATGGGTAACCCTTTTATTTCCAGGTTTTTACTGCAACAAAAAGTATCGTTCTGAACCTTTCTGCTTATATTGGTCCTTTTGATCTTTAGGAGGATCTCCATAGTAGTGATATCATTAGGTCAAAGGTTATATTCAGTTTAATGACTCTGGGGGAATAGTTCTAGAGTGTTTTCTGGAATGGCTACACCACAGCTCTGTCAGCGGTGCTACCCATCTAGAAACCCTTTGTCTTTGATAGGTGACTAGGTTACCTCTTTTTCTAGGACTACATGATCTTGTTGGCATCTTATTTTATTTTTGGAGGTGGAAGCAAAAGTTATTATAGTGATATACAGTATCCAGAATGCTTCAGAAGGCTGTCTGTGGAAGTCTAGTTGATAATTATGCCTTTTAAAGTTGAATATCTGAGCATTTATTACAGAATGAGGTTATTCCACTCGTTAACAGTATCAAACCTTGAGAAGACTGAAAAACTCATTGCACTAGGAGCAGGGGAAAAAAAAGAAAGCTTGCCTTGAAAGGGCTCTTCCTAGACCTATGAAATACTATGGAATGTCTTCATTCTCAGTCTCCTGAGGCAGAAAATGAGCCCTAAGGATGAAGATGTAGAATGTGGAAGCCATAGGAGTGGCTGGCATTCCATTGCCTGGAATCCCTTTAGAAACCATCTAATCCAATGCTTTTCTTTTGTATGTGAGGAAATGATGAGTGCAGGGTCACAGATGTAGCACCCAAAGGGACCTTGGAGCTGGAGAAATGAAGATTAGAGAGAATACATGATTTGCCCAAAATCACAGGTGGTCAGGATCAGAGAAAAGATTCATGCCCAAGGCTTTTGACTCCAGAACCAGTGCTTGGCTTTCTAAGGTTACCATTTTAGTGTTATTGCCTGGATGAGAACCCAAATCTTTCGATCCCTCCATCTTTCTACTCAACCACACTGCCTCTCTATGGGGTGGAAGTAGTGGAGACTTCGTCTTGACTTCTAAGAGTATCTGGCTAAGAGTCCAGCTTTCACTGCTATCACAAGCCATGGAATCAGATCTGTATTAGGTCTTAACTTTTGTGGGCATAGTTCACCATTGTGATGTGCATCACCATCTTTCTGCCAGAAGCTTTTCTATAAAGGCCTGACAGTTTAATCTTAAATATTATGACTTCATGGAAAGATTAACTTCTAAGATTAATCAGATTCAAAAGGGGATTTGAACTCATTAACCTTCAACTGTTCTAGAAAATCTTATCAAAGAATAATGCCTCCATTCATTAAAAAACATATTTAGCACCCACTGTTTGTAGCATCGATGCTGCCAACTAGTAACTTTGTTGAAACTGTTCTGAACCTGCAAATCAGTAACTTATTCTCCAATTCTGGCATTAAGTAAAGAAATACTTTTAAACAATTAACTTCATAACAAATAGCTTTACTCTTAGATAAGCTCCTTGGAAAACAATCTAGATCTTTTAATTCCTGAGTCTAAAGAAGTTTGTTCAAGCAAACTTTCACCTACAAAACTCAATGTCTTGTTTTATTATCATTTAAAAAATATTTCATGTAGGAGCTTTCAAATTCCCATGTGTGCTGTAGAGAATGGATCGATAAGAGAATCAGCTTTATAGTGTATAGTATAAATAAAACAGCTTGAATAAGACTACTGTTGTTTGAAGGCTGGTATTTTCATAGCCAGATTTTTTAAACTAGGTATTGGAAATCCACACCAGAAGCAGCTTTTGTTTAACCTTTGACAGAGTCAATCTATGTGGTAGTTCTTGCCAAAGCATAGTAGTATCACATTTTCTTTGAGACATGTTTTAAAAGTTTAGCAAAGTCATATCCAGATAGCTAGAGGTTCAGTGGAAAGAGCGCCACACTTGGAGTTGGTAAGTCCTGAGTTCAAATTTAGTCTCAGACACTTAACTAGTTGTATGATCCTGGGCAAGTCACTTAACCTTTGTTTGCCTTAGTTTCCTCAACTGTAAAATAGGGATAACAGTGCTTGTGGGCTCAGATTAGATATTTATAAAGCACTTAACACAGTACCTGGGACATAGTAGGCTCTTTAAAAAATGTTTATTTCCTTCCTTGTGACAAAGATCCCTGGACTTGGACTCCCCAACACTTACTAACTGTGTAACATTTGGCAAGGCAGTGCAGTGGTCATAGCACACAGTGAATTTGGAGTCAGAGGAGCTGGCTTCCAGCCTTGGCTGGGCTACTTTTGTGATGCTGGGCAAGACCACCTCTCTGTGGACTCTAATTTCCTAAGCGGGTTGGATAAGACCTGAGAGCTCCAAGGTCCCTTTCAGCTTTTACTCCTGATATCATTAGTCGCTTTGCTTCTCCAATGAGTCCATTTTCTCATGAATAAATAGGATTGTTATGAGGAAAGTGCTTTGTTAATCATGGTACTCTAGCAATGCTCCAAAGGCTCCAATCCCATCCTTGTGGGCATCTCCTCCCTGATGTCGATGGCCCCCCATTCTTGCCTTCCCTATAAAAGTATGCTGTACTCACAGAATGAGAGAGCAGGGTTTGTGAACCTGTCGTGGGGAGTTCTCTTGAAGCTCATCATCTCTCCATGACTTCATGTCTTAATGAGTTACTGTGACTGAAAAGCTTCATCCGGGGTCACCAGCCCTCTGTTGCTGGTGCTGGTCCTTGGATGATGGCCTGGAGCTGGGCTCACGTTCAAACGTGGGGAAGCTGCCCCATCATTTTGAAGAATGATCAGAGTGGGACTTGAGTGAAGTATTTTTAATTCATACTGCAATAGCCTGTCAAAATTAGTGACTGTTACTACCTTTTTTAAAAATCCAGGACAGCTGATTCTAGAAGCCATAGAATTTGTGTCGGAATTTGCTAGTCATCCTCAGGGAAAGGTGATAGGAAAAGGAGTGTATCCTTAGGGGTTTTTTTTGCCCTTGAGCATCTTACTTTTTCCAAAGGATTTTATAGTAGCATCCTCTTAATTCCCAAAGTGGTTGCCTAAATTTCCAATGATGTTGAAAGATGGCTGACATCTTAGTGTAAAATGGTAGACATAATATCCACAAGAGAAGTGGGTTTCTATTTATCCTCATGAACTAGTTTGGTGGGGCAGCTAGGTGGTAGAGTAGTTAGAGCTCAGGCCTTGGAGTCAGGAGAGTTCAAATCTGACCTCAGACACTTGACACTTATTAGCTGTGTGACCCTGGGCAAGTCACTTAACCCCAATTGCCTCACCAAAAAGTTTTTTTAAAAATTGGTTTGTTTTGATTTAGATTGATTCAGTTTTCGTAGTAGTAGGCTACACAAATAATTTGTAACATACAGCAGAAGGGCATTCAATAAAAAGCATTAGGCTTGGCCCACTAGCTTTCTTTAAAAAAAAAAATATTGATTTTTTTTTTTTGCCACTTAACATTTCCAAATACATCCCTCCTTTTCCCCCTACCCAGAAAATTCTTCATAATGAAGAATGAAAAAAGAAGGAAGAAAAGTTCCATGAAACTAAGTAGGGCAGGATATCAGCTAAGTCTAGCACTGTCTTCAAGATAACATACTTTTAGTCCCCTGCCTCCAAGAAAAAGTATATTTTCATATCTCACTACTGGGGACACACCTGGAGGGCATTTATGCAACATTCAGTTTCAGCTTTTTTCATTATATAGTTATAGTAATTGTGTCTATTGTTCACCTTGTTCTCCTCTTTTTAAAAATTTATTTATTTTTAGTTTTCAATATTTACTTACACAAGATTTAGAGTTCCAGATTTTCTCCCTATCTTGCCCTTCCCCCACCCCAAGACAGCATGCATTCTGAGTACCCCCTCCCCTAATCTCCTCTCCCTTCTATCCCTCCTATTCTCTTATCCCCTTCCCCTTCTATTTTCCTGTAGGGCAGGATAGATTTCTATATCCCATTTCCTGTATATCTTATTTCCCAGTTGCATGTGAAAACAATTTTTAACATTTGTTGTTAAAACTTT